CATAAGTTACTTTTTAATTAACCTTTTCATACAGAAAACCTAAACCTCCAAATAAGTCTAATACAAAAGAGGTGAATGTTATGTAAGTGGTAAGAGGAAACATACGACAGGAAAGACTAATATAAAAATGTAAAGTAATGTTTTTCCAGATTAGATATTTCAACTTAGGAAAAAAAAAAACAACACAGAAATCTAAGGTGTGTCCTCTAGTGTCATCTTTTGTGTCAAAACCTACTAAACAAGAAATAAGCAACTAGAAGAGCTGTGTCTGTATATTGACTACGTACCCAATAATACAAGTTTTCAGAACAGAGCATATGTAGCTTACTTCACCAGAACCTATCATACTGCACAGACGCACAAAATTACTGACCATCCTGAAAAGTTTTCAAATGTTCAAGTTTGTTATAGCCACAGTACCCAGATTAATGAATACTAATCTACATCACAGAATGAGGGGGGGGAAAAAAAGACCATTTTAGCTCTACAGGAGGTGCTCCTACTGCACAGAGGAGACCTACCAAGGCAGCGATGTCTCGCTGAGCTCAGCACTAGTGCTGCCAGACAGACCCACTCCCAGGCTTTCACTGGCACCTCTTTACTGTGCTCCCAGCAGCCCCATTTCACAGAGGAACTTCAAACCTACACTGGCTACAACAAGCTTTCAGGCAATATTGTGCCACAGTATTAAGTTTTTCCCCAACCTCAGAGCAACTACAAAATTGGGGATTCAAATGGGTGCAAAGCTTGGCACAAGCCAGTCCAGGTCTAGAACCACCAGAATCCAAGAGGTAAGAAATCCTTTCCAACCAAAAATAAACCGTGTAAGAGAGAATGCCTCAAAGTGCTCCCTCTAGCACATCCTGTATCACCTAATTAGGATTTCCCCCTTTCACCATCACTTTGGAACATAATGCAGGAACACCAGAATTTCATGCACCATCATCTCATAACTGATAACAAATGAGAATAAATTGTACGTGCAAACAAAAAGTATTTCCCAGCCTTAACAGAGGCCAAAAGCTTAAGTATTCATACAATATCCAGTTTGAGACAGGTGCTCTATACGACTACTGGAGATCATTTGAAAAAAAATAACAAAAAAGTCACATAACATTTAAAAGTCACATTACTTTTAAAATACCACTAGAAAATATAAAGCTGTGATACTCAGCTGCTTTGCATGCCAACCTCAGAGACAAATACATCAGAATCTCACAGCAACAAAGACACTACTTCGTTAAAGGAAACATTAACTTCTGAATTCACGTGGCTGCATAGGACATTTACAGTTATGAAAACAGGAAATCATTTCTAAGATAAATGTGAGTATAAGGTTAAACATTCAGGTTACGCAAACTGGGAAGGCAGGAAATGTAGGGTTATGTCTTAGAGAACTGTTTAGATAGGAAGACTTTTAAAATCAAAGATGTGTCACCAGAAACAAAACCACCCCATGCAAGTAAGTCGGGGGTTGTAAGTGACCCTTCAGTGCATTGGGTAGTCAGTCCACAACAAGAAGAGCCATGCCCTCACATCACAGGGAGGATTTGCCTCTCTGAGATGTGACCTCATCCATCTCCCTGATCAACTAAAGGTTGACCAGCCATCCTGACACATCTGTTCTTGGCACCTTCACAGACTCCTGCTTGGCATTCTTGTCTATAACGAACTAATACGAAACATCATGAAAAAATATGTTTTAAGATGCTGTGTATCAGTGGTATGTTTTGGATCTTTAATGATTATTTCTCCCACTGGGACCAGACTGATTGGGTTGCCATCCTCATCAATAGCAAGAGTAGTTTTGCCTATAAAATCAAGAGCAACTCTTAATATCTGAGGCTAACGAAAAACTTCATTTTAAGGAACAGTTTCTGAAAATAAGCCCTGATACATAATCCATTGCCTCCCTGTGATTAATCAGCCCTATCACAAACTTTAGGGTTTTTCAGGAGCTCCACATACCAGGGCACAGGACAGTCTGGCTAAAGTCAAGGTCACCCAAAGCTGAAGCATACCACTTGATCAAAGACTAACTCATTAAGCAAAACCAAAAATTCACAAAAAACATGAAAGCAGCCTTGATTTTTTTTGTCTCCATAATCTGGCCCATTGAAACCAAACAGCTTAATTCAAAATAAGGCTCTAGCTAGAGCTTCAACTTGTCATACTTCTGGTGATATTTATCTGATTCTTTTCTAGATATTAGTTTCATTTTTTTCCAAATTCTGCAGTACAAGAAACAAAACTTTACAGTTCTGACCAAAAGCAGCTTCAAGACCAAAACCATTCACCTATTCAATGAAAAAAAGCTTAAATCCAGCCTTTTTACATGTGTGTATAATCTGTTTAATGACTTACCTCTCTCCCCTTATGTGTCACCAAAGCAGCCAAAGGTTTGGCATAGAATCTGCTGTAGGAAAATCCCAGGCAGCCATACATACTGTTAGCAGTGAGTTTCAAAGCTTTCTGTCTGATATCATACTGCAAAGAAACACAACCAGCAAAAATGATCAAACCATAGCCATCAGAGGACAGAACTTAATGCTCACAATTACATTCACAGCTTTTCATACAGCCTGAAGCAATGATGGGCTACAAATAAAGCACATTACAATCACTGCTCACTACTAATCATCCCTATTCTACAAGGCTGATCAGGGCACTTAAAGGAAACGGGAGGAAAAATCAAAGGAGTTCTGCAGAACACACCTGTAAATATAGGTCAGGATTTAAATCTGGCTGTTTCATTAACTGCTTAACTTGACGCCTTCTCTCCACCAGTTTCCTGATTTCTTTAGGCAAAACTCCCATTTCCACAGATGGGTCTGGAAGCTCTGGAATTTCTTCCTCTTCTTCACCCTGTCAAATGATCACCACAGCTTATCATTTTCTCACTCGAAGATTAGATTTTAATGTGTTAAGTGAAAAGCTTGGGGGAAAAAAACCAAAATCACACAGCTTGTGTCTATTCCTGCAGAGCACCCAAAACAGAGTCTAGAACAAGCATGAGACGGTTTTTGTAGTGTTTAACTATAATACTTCATCCCTTCTGGGGGACAGGGCCTAAGTCTGTTTCAGTCTGGGAGAAACCCAAGAGAGGTGTGGACCAGTAGCAGGAAGATTTTTTTTAGTGTGTGTGTGTGATTTGATATATTTCCACACACACACATATATAAATCCAGATAAATAACACACACACACTCTAACTTTTAGGTATAGATAGACAGACAGATAGACAGACAGATAGACAGACAGATAGACAGACAGATAGACAGACAGATAGACAGACAGATA